AAGTCACAGAGTCATGTGAGGGGCTGCAGCCACCCAGGAAACCGAGTGATATCCAGTTCTAATACAAAACTATACAAAGGCACAGCACGCTGGAATTCAAGGATAGTACTTCATGGTTAATATAGTTATACCTGCAGTCAATAGGTTCGGAGAACTCTGCACCCTCTTCACAGCTGTTAATTTGACAGACATGGCAGCACGTTTGCGAGCACACCCACCACTATCTGAAAGCACAAAATGACACAGGCACAGGCCCACAACATAGCGAGCAAGCACATGCAACAGATCAAGTGGATTTAAGTGAGATACGCAAATGTGGAGAGTGGAGAATTCATGCAGTTAGAAATTGCTATTGGTCCTTAGGATATGGAGGTGTGTACCAAAGGAACGTGAAAAAATATACCGCCATTTCAAGGAATACATGATCTAAGAAACTTATGATGTGCTTTCCACTATTGGAAAGTCACTTGTGTATACCTAACTCACCACAAAAAGACTAACATGGAGGATTAAAATAGGCACAACATTATCTTCTCAAGTAATGGCACAGTTAGGTCAGTTCTTTACACTGTCTTCTTCCCGACTGTGTCTGTGCTTTGGGTAGCCAATGGATAACATCAAGCTCTCGGTTATATTCCCTGGAATGCAGGGGACAGAATGAGCAGCTGAGTGTCTACACAAGTCTCAGACCAAAATGCAGTGCCTCTCTCTCAGGGTTTGGCTGGTCCTGCAAAGCAGAATATAGCTGAAGAAACAGCACAGTCAGAAAAGCTTAAACCTCCTTCAGTGCACTGCATGTGCTTGAAATCCCATTTAAGCTGTTCCTATTTCATTGATCCAATGTGTTTGGTTATACACCATTTTATGTGCCCTAAACTTTGTGAAGGAGCAGGCATCAGCACCATTGCGACATCTAACCACTTCCCAATTTGCCAGCTCAGGGAATCATGCTTGTTACATACATCAAGGGAACCTGAATATGAGACCAAATTTAGGACCCAGCCAGGAATGTAGTGTTAGTGCCGCAGATATTAGTGCTCCAAGCGCCACTCCCTGCAGGAACCCTAGGAGGATCCAAGGACTGATCAGAGGATCCAAGCAAGCCACATGTGGCTTGCAGACTGGGGTTGGATAGCCCTGCTTCATGGTGTAATTGCAATAATCATACAAAGTTTTAAAAACCGACTCCTTAGTTCTACTTTTATACAAGGGCTAGAAAGCTGGCAGGACAAGGCGAGACTACTGAAGCTAAAGGAAGTCTAGTTCTGTTTTCCCATACACAAAAGCCCACCTTGGCTTACTTTATGCGCAGGAGTTCTGCCCAGCTTGCTATGACTTGTTTTTGCATGTAAATTGAAATAGCAGGAGGTGCTTGAGGATAAAACAGCCCTTAAATTACCCATGGTGGACTGTTGTAACATGCATTTCTGCCATAAGAAATTGAAGACATCAAGAATAGGAAACTCTGAAAGTGAGAGAGCCTAGCTTGTTTAATCCAATCATTCAGCCCATGGAGGAACAGGGTTCTCATCATGTGTTGGTGGAATTTGAAACAATGATGGTGGCACATTGTTCCAAATTCCTCTAGGGTACATTCTTCTAGAAGTTTAGAAATGCTCCTCAGAACAGACTACTATGAAGCCTATAGCCTTATTTTTCCCATTATTGTGCTATAGCAACCTATGGTGATTTAGCATTTTAAAAACGCTAAGCCTCATGGATTTTTGCAGCCTCTGAGGTCCATGCATGCTTTTACTATATTTATGTCTTTCATTTATTATAAAACAGTTGGCTTATTCAATCATTTTTAAATTAGATACATTCATCATACATATTATCCTTGTATACTCCTGCCTAAAATATTTATGGAGGGACACCAAGGACCCATTATAGCAAATTAACTTTGACCCAATCATTCTCCATCTCTGGAAAAAGGCAGTTAAGCAAGTCTGCATACTGCTAAGACATTCATGTGAAGTACAGTCCTTCCCACTTTATAAACTGATTCTTTGACATTTTGCCTTTTTTTATAGAAAACACTAAGATATGTGGACAATTAAGTCAATAACCCACTTTATACCAAACCGCTTGAATTTTATTCAGTCTAGAAATTAGGGACTGAATTTCTGTTTATCTTTAGTAATAGCCATTTTAGAAACCAGACAGATAAGTCATTTCATCAAAACACTGTGGTAAAAATACCATCTTAGATACTCCTGTAAACCTGCCTATAAGTTTTTGGTTCTTCCAAAACACAAAAGTTGTGTTCTATTCAAATCAAAGCAATTTACTGCTTCTGTATAAATAAAATGCATTACAGAATGGTGCTCCCTTACGTTGCCATCAATTTCTTTCTGACCCACAGATTTCCTTCCATAAGCAGCGGGTCCCACCATTTCTCCTGATCAAGTAGAGCACACCACTTACACGAAGAAGATTTAGTGCTTCCTAGAAGAGGCCTCAAAACTAACAGAAAAGCTCATTTCTGGAAGGAGGCAGGTAAATAGAGCTCTTTTATGAAAATGTCATGTTATTTTGGGTTGTCTAAGAAAAGCTAATTCACTCTTGTTCAAGAGATGGAGGTGTAAGAGAACAGGTAAGATCATAAACACTGTAATGGTTTCTTTCCAAAGAAGGAGACAAGAAAAAGGACCCAGAAAGGTGGAGGCTGAATTCCCAAACTTGACAGCAAACAGGTTGAAGAATTCAGATCTGAGACCTGAATGTTCCCAATTAAGCTCTGCTTGCTTCTCTTGAGGATCCATATGCAGCTCTAATGTGAACAACAGTATTGCATCAGTTTGCACTTGACATATTATAATCAAACTACTGATGTCTGTGAGCTTTGTAATGTGCTGTGAGTCAGAAGGAGAGGCAATCAATGAGCCATGAATATTATCCTCTGGTACTGACAAGATAGTGTGCTCCAGTCAACTGGAGCTATTATTTTACAAGAACCTTCTCATATTCCACTTTTAGCCTGCTTTCTGTTTTACCTTGGGAAGGATGGAGAATGGCTGGAGAGTCCAGCTTTAAAGTAAGAAGAGGCTGGACTAATTTGCCTTCAGGACCCTCCAAATCTGCAATTCCAAGACTGAAGCAAAGGATTAAAGCGAGAATATGTGGGACATCTCTTTCTATAACTTACCGTTTGTAAAATTAGCACGATCCAAACAAAGAGATGTATTTGTCTACCTCTTCAATTTCCACAGGAGAGAGGGATATGCTTAACTATATAACTGAAATCTACAGGATTTGGGCCAAGACTTATGCACAGTTGCCACTCCTCAGGAGCCTCCTCCCATTCTAGCCCCTTGCAGTTGGCATGGTTTTTTCCATGTGATCCAATGCTTCTAATCCAATGGAGGATAAGGCTGGCAACAGCTACTTATCCCTGATGGCTTTCAGCACTGGGGCAGCACAATTAGAAATACCAGTTGCTGGAAAATATGGCCAGCAGGGTGCTACTGCTCTCTATCCTATTTGTAGGTTTCCCACAGGAAGCTGGTTGCTCACCGTGTGAAAAGAATGCTGTGCTAGATAATGTTTGGTATGAGCCAACATGGTTCTTCTTATTGCTCTTATGTATACTCCTTCCATCAAAGCACACTACTTCTGAATCCTAAAAATGGTCTCTTAAGCAATGTAATGTTGGCTGTCAGTAATGTCCAGTATTTGTTTTTCATTTCAAAAAGAGCAATATACTCAACCACTGTACATTCTAGGATGCAGTGATCATTCATTTTTTTCAGAGGTTCAGACTGGCCTTGGTTCTCAGTCAGTCATTATTTTTGACTTCTGCAGAGCTCTCCCTCCCCAGGGTCCTCTAGTACATACTGAGATTTGCGGAAGGGGATGGTTTGGTTTTGCACCAGACTTGGGTTGGACTCAGAAGCCATGAGAGAGATTGTTGGTACATTTTTAGTCCCCATGAAGCTCAGTGCTTCATGAAGAGGATTGACCTCTTCTATCGATGCATTCCAGAATTATTTCTGCATTCTCTCCCACCTGGCATGAAGTATCCCCTCTCCCTAAAGTTCCATTTATATTCACAGATTTTGGAGGAGCACAGAGATCCCTTTCTTGGTGATGGGCATTGAGGGTCCTGTGGTGCCTTAAGGACTGCCTTTTCCCATTGTTATCCCTTCTGTTCAACACTTGACATCTTCCTTCACTCTCCTTGTTGAAAGAAGTAAGGCTAGGATGCATAAGGAACAGGGCCCTTTTGGTTGTGGCACCAACCTTGGAATGCACTTCATAGAGAGGCTCGTATGGCCTTATTATGATATGTATCCCTGCATTTGATAAAGGCTCTCTAAGCAGGCCTTTGGAAGAAGCATCAATGATAATATGATTTTGTCTTAGTATTGTATCATGCTGTTTGATATTGCTGTGTTTATTTGTATTGCTATACTGTTAGACAGTTGAGTTCCTCTAGTCTAATGCAACAAAAGCAAGATAGAAAATTTCTAAAATAAATAAATATGGTTTCCAAAAAGGCTATCTGCTGATTTTTAAGCACAGTGGTCTAGAAAGGCAAAAATGCAAAAGATATGTACATATATCTTAAACGGCACTTATGAATAGTTTTTAAAAATATTTCCATAAATATAAGAACTATAAACTATGAGCAACAACAGAATTATTTTAGGACTAAATATTACACCATAAATACAAATTGCTTGATTTATGACATTTTATGAGACTATGTGTATTGCATGTGCATTATGCCCCAATATATTTTACTAAATACCTGAAAATATATTGAAATGAATTATGCATACATAAATACATATGCATGTATAAATGCATATATTTATACATATGAACACATCTAGATAAATTTCAGACAAAAATTCATGTAAACATGGCTGAAAACTCTAATCTGAAGCAATGAAAGACAGCTCTAACTTGAAGAATTTACCTAATGGAAGAGGCTGAGAAAAAACCTACACATTTGTTTGCCCTCCCTCTTGCAGTCCCCTATAGAAATTGCATACCTGTATTCATTTTGACTCTAGAAGTTTTGCTGCTGAAGACTTCAGTTTTCCTACAGAAGAGGAAAAAACACCACTTATTAATTTATCATAAAGCAATGGTATAAGATAAAACGCATCCATGCAGGGGCTGGAGAAAGGAGAAATACTGGTAGATCCATGTTTACTGGGGACTACTTGTATTTCCAGACTAAACGAACTGCTGAGACAACACATCCATTGGATCCTAACCCTGTTTGGGCAGGCAGAACCTCGCAACAGTTACTCAGGCACTGCTAACCTCTCATCTGGATTACTGCAATGTACTCTATGTGGGGCTTCCCTTGAAGACAGTTTGGAAATGTTATTGGGTCCAGAATAGGGCAGTGAAGCTGCTGATGAGGGCTGGCAGATATTATCATATAATTCGAGTCCTCTGCCATCCCCACTGGTGTGTTTAAAGCCCTAAACTGCTTGGGGCAAGGGCATCTAACCGAGTGTCTATTCCCACATGTGCCTACCTGGCCCCTCTGGTCAACAGTGGTCCTGCTGAAGGACCTCCGTCAAGAGGAAAAACGGGAGGGTGGCTACAGGGGGACAGGTCTTCTTGGCTGGGACACTCCCACTTTGGAACCGGCTACCCAGAGAGATTCGCCTGGCACCCTCTTTGTATTTGTTTCTGCACCAGGTGAAGACCTTTTTATTTTCCCAATATTTTAACTGTTAGATTGATTTTAATGGTTTTAATATTTTATTTCTGGTTATACATTGCTGTTGTCCTTTTTATGTTGGCCTGTGGTACTCTGAAGTTTTATAATGGCATGGTTTTACTTGTTAGATAGCTAGATTTTATTGTTATATTAGCTGTTATTTTTTTAATTGTATTTTAATTGTAAATTTCTTAATTTTTAATCCACTCAGGGAGACTTGTGGCTAATGGGGTGGGATAAAAGTCCAGTAACAATAACAACATCAACAACAATAATAAGTTTACAGGTTTATGCATTGCTTACTAATATTTTTTCCTGAACTGGAAAGAATAACATATTTGGACTGCAATCATAAACAGACTTACTAGTTGAACTGACTTCTGAGAAAGCATGTATAGTGTTGCATATGTCCATATCCATAGTTCCAAAATCCAAGTTGCCCATACCTTTAAAAATCTAGAGGAATAAGTTTGGGGGCGGCGGGGGGCGGTATACAGAAGAGGTAAGAATTTCTTTTTTATGCTTTTGTAAAAAGCATCGTGAAGCTGTAAGTGGTGATAATTTTTTTTAACAAGGTGACCGTTCTGTTTCAGCTGCTAATGTTGACTTCTGAACCTGGTAGGTGTGAAGCAATTTTTCTACTGACAATGTAAGAATTATTGCTCCTGAAGCAATTGACTCGGTGCACTAGAATGCTGAATCAGGCCCCAGCTGAGTCTGCCAGACACTTAACATGCAATGAAGGCAAATTATAAATACATTAATTCAGGAAGTTGCAAGGTGGTGCTTCATTTGGGGACTTGATGCTCCATGGCACTCAAAACACAAACAAATAAACAAACAAACAGGAAAGATTACAAGAAATAGCAACTGAAAAGGAGTCAGAGTGGTTCTCTCTTAAGGCTGGCAAACTGCTTTAAACTGCTGCTGTTCTTGTGACTGAGTTTTTCACACAGAGTACTTCAGCAGGCAAACAGAAACATGTGACGAAAGTACAGGACATGCAAAATTGAGAATATTACAGCCCACAAGGATTCTCCTGATCTCCCTGAGTATGGACTGGGGCTTGAAGGAAGCACATAGCTTTTTGGCTTCTCTCAGCTCGTTGGTATTCAGACAGGAATACATTTATTCCATGAATAATACAATACAAAATAAGTGGGTGAGTCTGCAGAACATTGGGGGTTCTGGCTTGCATGCTGGACACAGTGCTCGGCATCGCTTCCTACTACGAGAAGGAAAGTAGTCAAGGAGCCCTTCTCCCATTCCTGCCAAGATCCCAGGGCCCACCATTCTCCCTCGCCAGCTGAGCATCACAGCATGGGTGGGAGGCAGGGTCTGTAGGGACTCTGTGCCCGCACTTTCCTTTAACCAGCAGGGATGACATCTCCCACCGTATAGCGAAAATTTAGCCAAAATTCTCACAGTAGGTGAACTGCATTTTCCCAGTAGCACTCTATTGTTCTCGATTGTGGAGCTAAGGATTTAGCAGTAGCTTGTTCTTGTATGGGAAACTAAGACCCATGGTTTTATAAAAGGACTTCGAAACACAGTTGCCTGCATGTCCAGGCTCTCACTGAGGGTATGGCTATGGAGACCGTCTTGATAAACACCACTGTTTAGCAAAATGTAGCACCACACCACTGGTGTCATACCTAGAAAGCAGATTAGGTAAGGGGAGATGACCGTTGACAGGTCTGTGATAGGGTTGCCAAGTGCCCTACTTTACAGATGACAGTCCTCTATTTTGGAAAGCTGTAAGAAGACAGTTGTCCATTTAAAAGTATCATCAGTCTTTCCCTCTATCATGGGATACACTATATTTCTAGCTAGATTACAGTTAGTATTTCTAAGTTTGCACCTACTGTCTAACCTTTTTATTTTCCCATTATTTTGAATGTTAGTAGTGTTTTAAGATTGGATTTTATCTACTATTATCTGGATGCTGTATGTTACTCATTTATTGTATTGTATTACCGCCTTGAGACATTGTGAAGGGTGGGATATAAAAGCTTTAAATAGATAACTAACTAAATAAAATAACTATCCTTTGGCATGTGCAGGTGTTATCCATATTGGCATCCTCTTTTGTCCTCTTTGTTTGGTGATGCATTTCCTCTTTGCTGGTGATAATAAGTGGCCATCGGGTCTATTGAGAAAATGGGTGAGAGTTAGTGATTTTTTTGTTCTAGCAGGAGATTTTAAGTCAGTCAGTGTTTGGGGTGCAAGATGATAGAAACCAAGTTTCACTGAGGTGAAGACTCTTTTGGCCCTTCATTTGCCTGCCTTCATACCTGTAATTAGAAATGCTGCATACTTTAAAAAGAAAATAAATCTCATTTTCCAATTGGAAAAGAAAATGTGGCACTGGCCAATTAAAATATTATCCCCACTTCAAAAGCAATTTTAATCTGCTAAGTCATAAGCAGTGCTAGGGAAAATAGCACTTTTGTACAAAACATTTAGGGCAAAGCAAGGATAAATGAAGGAATGCAGAGAATGGCTAATAAAATTTCTTGACATTCTGTTTAGAGTGAAGTTAACCCCTCAGAATTCTCAACAGATGATTCAGAGATTAAAAAGAGTCCAGCCTGTTTTGTTCTGTTTCAATAAAGTGTCTTTCATTGTAATACTGGTTTCCTTAACATCCACAATTTATTCCTGAAAGCATCAGATGCCAAGAGTGTTTCCTTGCTGCTAAAGGAGACAGCATTTTAAATGCCCTCATAGTTGGAAGCTCAACAAATGCTAGCACCGTGAAAAAAGGCTATAAAACATAACACTACACACTGAACTTCAGCAAAGGCATGCTGAGCACAGAACTCCTTGTACAAAAGGATCTCAGCATGATTCTTACCAAGAACTTTGATTTCTTGGTAATTTCACAAACTGTATTTAGCTCAGTTGAAAGCTCTATACATTTTTTGCTAATCTGTGTTATCATATGAATGCTAATCAAGGAGGAGGATGCTGTCATCCACTGTGAAGATGCTAGACAAAGATAGCGGAAATGGAATTGACTTCATACATCTTTGGAGGATACACAATGTCTTGGTTTGCATGGCAAAACAACCCATGGCAAATCGTCACCCTTGCTTGTCATGTTGTCTGAACCCACTATGACAACTTAAGCATGGCTTATTAATCAGGTACAAACCACCCTGAGAACTCATAGAGTTTGGCTGGGTTGTTCAGGATGGCTGGTTGTGTGACACCTGAACCTGGCAGAGTGGGTTCTGCATGTTTTCTTTAAAAGGGCTGCAGAGATGCCTGGCAAGAGCAATGCAAAACCTAATCACATTCAGCAGTGTCTTCCGGCCCTCCTGCTTTGGCTCTGCACTTTGACAGTGATTGGCTTTATTCCCTCCTGAGCTGAATTAGCAGTGCTATATTCACCATGTGATTGTCTTACCTTTGGGTAAACACACCTGGCCCCGGTTCAGGACCATGGCAATTCAGCAGCAGGGGATTTATGCTTTTCTCATCCTGCTGAAATCTCCTCCCCTCCGCTCCACACACAAGAGGTTTAAAAAAGAAAAATGAAAAGGCATTCGTTTTTTCCTTCTAAACTCCTTCCTGTGGTGGAATTTCAGCTTGAAAACAGGAGTGGAAAATGTAAGTCCCCTGCTCCATGGTCTTAAACTGAGGTCAGGTGTGCTTGCCCAGAGGCAAGTCATTCATGTGTGCATGGGCAGCTGGGCTAGGGAGAGTGGCATTGCTCCTCCCTGGCTGCAAGCAGATGCAAAAGACACTTTTCTGAGTGTGAAAGAAAGACTATAATAAAACACACAGACACTTCATTGTAAGACAATCCCCTTCCAGCTCTACCTCAAAGATTTAGAGCAAGACTTTTGTGTTATTCCACAGCTATATCTGAATTATTATATAAATAATATTTTATATTATATATATATGTGTGTGTGTGTGTGTGTGTATCTGCAAAGGAGCTTTGCAAGGAAATAAACTCTGGGACATGAATCTCATTTCAGCAGGATACAGACAAAGTATGCTGCAAAGGTTACAGGATAAACCTTGTGAAAGGATGGGAAGACAAAGGGAAAAATGTACTACTGCAAGCTTGCAAATACTGTTGAGCTATTAACCAACCCACTATGGTTTAATTTTGGTGCGGCTTATTGTGATGTACAAACTTGCCTGACGATCTGAGCGGAGACATTGAGATTCTCCCGCAGCAGCTCAGTCTGGTCCTGCTGTTACCACCATGTCACAAAGTCTTGTAAAGGGGGCAACAGTGGCAGAGAAGGCTCAATCCAGTTGGAATGGTTACTGCAAGCTAGAGTTCTCTAAGACTGAGCACACTTCTGACAATATCAGTAGAGGTGAACAAAGGCCTAGAACCTTCC